TTATTTCTTTCAGTTCTGCAAGCTGGAAAGTCCAAGGCTGAGGGGCCTCTATTTGCCGAGGAACTTCTGGCTGCGTCATCCCATGGCAGTAGGTGAAAGGGCAGGAGAGCCGGAGTGTGAGAGAGAAGGGATGGCAGCACAGAATGGATCCTTTAATCAGGAACTCACTCCCTCAGTAATTACCCAACTCATGTGATCCTGAGTTAATCCATTCATGAGGGCAGAGCCTTCATAACCTAATCACCTCTTAAAGGCCCCACCTCTCAACACAGTTGCATTGGGGATTAAATTCCAACACATGAACTTTAGGGGACACGTTCAAACCATAGCAATCCATAAAATGGAATATCATTCCCAATTAAAAGAAATAAAATGCTACACCATAGGTGAACCTTGAAAACGTTACACTATGTAAAAGAAGCAAAGGACCACGTATTGTATGAGTCCCTTTATATGAATGTCCCGAATAGGTAATCTATAGAGATAAGACGAAGATTAGTGATTGCCTAAGGCTGGGGGTATTGGGAGTGTTATAGACTGTTTGTGTCCCCCCAGATTTGTATGTTGAAGCCCTAACCCCCAATGTGACTATTTGGAGATAGGGCCTGTCAGGAGGTGATAAAGGTTAAATAAGGTCATAGGATGGGGCAATTCCAAGAGGCTGCTGGCCATTAAGAGAACTGGGAGGACATAAGAAGAGAAAGGGCCAACTGATCCATTTCTAAGCTTTGGGATTCTTTTTGTTGTTGTTCTTTTTAATTTTGAAGGGAAAATATTTGAAGCAATAAAAGTGCCTGTAGGAAAAGAAATACAATGATATTCTTACTGGAAAAAACCAAAAAACCTGTTAAGGGTGCTAACAAAACTCAAAATCTCTAGGTCGCAAACACTTTCACATCTGTTTATTGTGTGAATCCAGAGACTTGCATCCCATTGCTTGGAGAACTTGGTGTGACTGCAAACCCAGAGCATCCACACCAATGGCCATGAAGGCAAAGCTTGGGGAGCAGTTCTGTGCTCTGCCCTTGTCTCTCCCCGATTTCTTCCACACCCATCTCCTCCCCTTCTCCCAGGCTTTCCTCTCAATTCATTTAGGGTCTCTAGCCCTGCAAAATGCTACCATCATCCTAGGTTGCCCCACCCTGAAAGGTGGGAGCTAGGGGAGGGAAGGGTGTGTTCCAGACACGGTTCATAAGGCCTGTGTGTGGTCAATGACAGTTCACCAGGACGGTGGTAGGTTGCCTCTAACAGAATCCCAGTGATGTCCACCTTCTAGTAGTCACCTCCTCCTAATCCCCTCCCCTTGAGTGTGGACTGGATTTAGTGATTCCCTTTTAGCAAAGAGAGTGCAGCAGAAGTGAGGAGATGTCACTTCCAATATTAGGCTACAAAAAGACTGTAGCTTCTACTCTCTTGAGCTTGGTCTGAGGAAGCCATGTTGTGAGCTGCCCTACGAAGAGGCCCACAGAGCAAAGAACGAATGTCTCTGGTCAACAGCCAAGGAGGACCTGAAGCCTGCCAGCAGGTATGAGTGCACTTAAGGTTGGATCTTCCTCGGGTGAAGCCTAGATGTGACTGTAGCCCTGGCTGATACCTTGAATGCAGCCAGAGGCACCCAGTGAAGCTGAGCCCAGATTCCTAACTCACAGAAACTCTGAGATCATAAATGTTTGTTTGTTTTTTAATTTAAACAATTTTTTAGTAGATACTGGGGTCTTGGTATGTTGCCCAGGCTGGTCTCAAACTCCTGGCCTCAAGCAATCCTCCTGCCTCAGCCTCCCATAGTGCTGGCATTACAAAAGTGAGCCACTGTACTTAAATGATTGTTGTTTTAAGTCTCTTAGCGGAAAGGAGATGAGGTCATTTCTCAGCTTGCACCTAGATGGATCCACTCTAGACTCTTTCAGCTATTATACTGGCTCTGGTCTTTCATTTCCAAACTTGCCCATGTAGTCCAACATGAGGTGGGTAGAAAGAGGGGTGCAGAAAACTCATTTTCACATAATGCAATAAAACCCCAAGTTCCTGGCAGCTTTGGGGAGCTGTTTTCCTTACAGGAAGGGTTTGCCCTTCTCAGATCTAAACCTATTTTCACTGCCATTATTTGGAATACTGACTTCTCTGTCTTCTTAAATGGAAGACAGAGAAAAGAAAAGAAAGAAAAGAAAAAGATCTAGAGCCTTTTTGGTGAAGACTACTTCCTCTGGGAAGCCTACCTGTGTCTTCTGAGAGCTGATCCCTCCACTGTGTTTCCCAACTCTTACCACCAAGGTTGCATTTGTCACTGACTTTGAATTAAGTAGACTGAGCCTGAGGGCAAGGATCGTAACTTAATCTTTAGGAGGATGGAGACCTCATTTATCTTTTCACTGCTGTATTCTCAGAACCTAGCATAGAACCTAGCTCTTGGCAGGCATTCAGTAAAGGATTATGGGAATCTTTTATTTATTTTGTTTACTTTTTAATTGTTTTGTAGAGACGGGGGTCTTACTGTTGCTCAGGCTGGTCTCAAACTCTTGGCCTCAAGTGATCCCCCTGCCTCGGCCTCTCAGAGTGCTGGAAGCCACAGGCGTGAGCCTAGTAAAGGATTATGAATGAAGGAAGTTACTTAGCATAATAGAACCTTTTGTTAATTCTGGGCCATAATTAAGGACCTCAGTTTTCTTGCCATATTTTAATATAGTGGTCATTTTTCATGTTTAGTTGCAAGTACCCTTAAACATTCTTAAACTGTGAAAGAAGATTCATGAATTCATTCATTTACTCTCTCATGATACAAAGTTTTTAACTGAGTGAGTCCTTTCTTGGGAGTTGAGGACATGAGCTTTGGTGCATGGACTTGGAGATCTCTGTTTCTTAAACTCCTATTGGCCCCGTTTACTTCGCTGTTGGAGCGGGGGTGGGGGGTGGGGGAGGTTGGCGAGCCTGGGAGAAGTTAACACATGGCAAGCAGGACTTTAGTCCCTCTCTTTTTATCCTATCACGTAGGAATCCCCTAGGATCTATCTCAGAGAGTCTGTGGTTAGCCCAGACTAGTTTATATACTGGTGGAGGGAGGTAAGTTAGTTCTCTGGGTGAGACCCCGGGGTCCAGGAAGGGAAGAGATTCTCTGGTGACAGATTTCCTGAGCCAAGGATGCTGGAATCCCAATCTTAGTTTTTTCCAGCTGATCCTAGGGGGAAACACCGTGAACCTTTGGGCCAGATTTTTGCTTGGAGCTGATGACTGGAGGTGGGGTTACTCATTCATGATTAATGAAAGTTCTCCATCCTGAGTTCTTCACAGCCATGGCCCCAGATAGAGCTTCTGTCTCTTCCCTTGTCCCTCCCAACTCTGAGCAGCTACAGCACAAGGGCTGAAGCAGGTGTGAGGTCAAGGGAGGTGAGAGGCAGCATGTTCGTGACCTGGAATGGGTGTGTTGGGAAGCAGTGGAAGGAGGGAGGTAGAACAGCTCGATGGCCATTTCCCAGGAATCAGAGGCTCATAAGCTTTCAGTGCCACCCCCTAAGCCAGCGCCTATCTCAGACATTCTGAGATCTTCACCTCCCTGGGATCAAAATCAGCCAGGAGGTAAGATAGAGAAGTATCCTATTAGGTCAGAGAAGGATGTCACGTTCCTGGACTTGATGCTAAGGACTTCTCCCCTCCTCACACCCTTCATGGATAGCTGAGGTCAAGGAATCCCTATGTCCCCTTTTGCAGGCCTCTGATCTGGCCAGCCATCCCCTTCCCCACCGCCATTCTGTTCCCAAATGGACCCCTACTGTATGCCCCTGCCTAGGGGTTTACCTGTCCCCATGCCTGAAGTTAATATCCCTGGGACCTTCAGCCCTGCGGCTGGGCTGTGGTAGGAGGGGACAGGTCTGCCCTGGGTCAGCTCATTTTCCTCAGCCCTTCCTGGGACAGTCTCCCCCTCTTCCTTCACACCCTTGGGAAACAGACCCAGATCCCAAGGGAGAGAAGCTGCAAATCATCTGGGTAGTGACGGGCCTTTCTTGGGGCTCTCTATGCCTGTGCCATGTGGGATGCTGGGATTCAGCAGGAACAATGTCAATATAGACCCTGTCCTCGTGGAGTATGCCTATGGGGATGTCCAGGAAAGGGAGTTTGGTCTGGGATGGGGGGCACTGCTCCTGCATCCCAAGCACCCCTCCAAAATCACCTGCCACATCACAATTGAGTGTATGGGTGGGTGGGACTCCCCCTGCCAGGCCATAGCCACCCTCCTGCCCCAGCACCAGCCTCTGCATTGCCCACCAGGCTTAGAAAGAGGAACTTGAGTCCCAGGACTGGGTAAGATCACAGAGAGAAGTGTGATTGTACTGGAATAATCTCATCCCCAAACTAGGCAGGAGCAGGGCCAGCCCAGGGGAGGCAATGTCACTGAGTGGCACCTCCTCCTCAGTCTAGCATTTATAGAGCACCTCCATACTTGTTTGCCGCCCACAATAGCTCTGTGAGGAATGTCTGCCAGGGACTAGCTTCTTGAGGCCCACAGGGGTCAGGGCCTAATACCCTGACCTCTGACCAAGGCACATGAGGGTTTGCCTTGCCTAGCTGCTCCTGGACACTCTGCTCCCACCCTTTCAGATAAGGAAGATTCAAATTAAGGGGTGATATCTGGGAGGGTTGGAGGTGGAAGTAGGGTGTCAGGGAGATGGGCAGGCTCAGGAAAGGAGGGCGGGTGTGTCACTGAAGAGTTTTATGGAAGCGGAAGGAAAATGGCAGGGTAGGGGGGAAGGAAAAGGTACATTTTGGCTTCACTGCATGGAAGTCCCTCTCACCCATGATAGTGTAGGCTGGGGATTGGAATCTCAAATCCTTTCCGTAGGGGTCAGGAAGTAATGCAAACAAAACATGCTGAGTCAGAGGTACAACAGGGAAGAGTGGGGGGGACTGTCCATGTTTGGGGCAGCCACTACACAAATTATTGCCATAAAGATCCAACGCTGCCAAATCTTCTGATTTAAAAACCAAAACAAACAAAAATAGAATCTAGGTTGTGATGTGAAATCTCCTGATTTAATTGTTGGCTCAATTGTTTAAACACACACACATACTGGGAGGGCCAAAATAAATCTGTTTCTGATCTCTGGCCTAAGCAATGGTCACATGCTTGGACAGTTAGGCTGCTTCTAAACCCAGCTCAGGGCACAGTGAATGCAGGGCTCTGGATAGATAGCTGTTGCATTAAGCCCATCTCTCCTGCTTCTGTGGTGTGGTCTGACTCCCTGTTCCAGTTAGGCCGGTTTCCTGCAATTTGAGAGAAGGGGCCCAGGAATACCTGCCTCAGTGTGAGAAATTAGCTTATCTCTGAAAGGGATTTTGCACACAAATTCTTCTCCCATGCCCCTGTCCACCACATACCTAACATCTGTATGCAGGTACAGACTTTCGCAGAGTAAGTTTACAACACTTGACACTCATTCAATGCAACTTTGAGGAAACTGAGGCCCAAAGACCACTAGTAAGCAGCGTAAACAGGACCTGATTAGTATTTGCAGTTATTTATTGAGCACCTACTATGTAAATGTTGGGCTCAGGCCTGCAACTCAAATCCTGGCTTGTGCTCTTTTGTCCTTGATGAGGAACATGTTAAAACCCCTTTCCTTCATCGCTGACCTCCTGTTCGGGGGCATTTGTTGCTTCTGGCTTGAGGACACAAGTGCTGTTCATTAGATGTCACCTCATGAAGCCTCCCAGATTTGCTCCAGGCAGGGCCCTTCTTCACTCCCAGCATCCTTCACTCTGTTGTTACTCGTCCTCAGGCCACATCCTTCAGAGGCTAGCAAGCCATCCCAGGGCTGGGGCTGTCTCACTCATTTCTGTAATCTGAGGGAGACACTTGTGCATGAGCTGGCATAGTGCTTGACAGGGGTCTAGAAAGAAGGGAACTGAGGTTTACTGAGTCACTTCTCTGACCCAGGTGCTTCATATTGATGTTCCCATGGAGTCTTCACCACAACCTCATGAGGTAGCCAGCCCTGACCAAGAAACAGGCTCAGATGAGACAGACCTGCCCAAGGTCACACAGCCAGGAAGAGACAATCCCAAGCACTCTGAGCTCAAAGCTGAGGGTGGGGTTACTTCATATTAATTCCCTTTAGCCCCTACTCTCTGTGGGCACAGTCCTTGATGCGGCAAGCTTGATAAAAGGCAAAATTTGGAGGCAGGGAACCAGATGCCTGGGCTAATGGTAAGAAAATCCCACCAGCAGCTCCCTCCTCCAACCTCAAAAGGGCTTATGTCTGTGCCTCTCCCAGGAACACGGCAGCTATGGGGAGGGAAGAGCCTCACAGTTTGGACTCTGCTCTGAGCACAGATTATGTAGCCTCCCCCAACTCGCATATACACTAAGTTTTACCAGTAGAAATACATTTCTTTGGGCAATGCCCAGGCAAAAGGGCCACATTCAGTCCCCAATGTCCAGGCACAAGTGAATTTTCACCATTTTTTCTCTATTGACAGGGGAGCAGAGAAAGAGCCTGGGGCACTTGTGAGGGAAGGGGCTGAGGAAGGGGAAGGTATAAATGTTGAGCTTTTTGCCCCTGCCTAGAAATGCTGCAAAGCATCCTCTGAACTCAACAGACAGGTCTGTTCTGGGGCCCTACCACCCTGCTTCACCTGTAAAGATAGTTATCATGGTGAGAGGTCTTTCAAAAGGGTCATACACCCCAGAGCTCATATAATGGCCCCAAGTTCAAACTCTCTGGTCCCTCTACCAGAACAGTCTTTCGCAGGGTCCTCTCTTGAAGTTAGGTTAGGGGATCCCCTCCCACCGCCCTGCCATTGCATTCCTCACAGGGGCTTGCCTGGCTCCTGGTCCCATTCCTCTGGGAAGAGGTAGTTGTTGCCCTTGGTGTGATTAATCCTATCAGTCCCTAGGCCTGTGAACAGAGCAGGTCAGCAATTGCCAGAGGTGTCCTACATCTGCAAGCAGCTAGGTCAATGCTAGACAGCCCTACCATCCCCAAACTCTCCCTCTAGCTGGCCAAAGTTTTGTCTTTGCAGCCTTAAAGAATAGGCCTAAACCCTCTTATCTGGAAGGACTCCCTGAAGACAGTGATCACAACTCTAGTGTTCTGATTCTTCCAGCTTGGGGTTGACTCAGCCCAGAAGGCCTGGCAAAAGATGTAGAGACCCTTCCAAATCCCATCATCAGCTCTCAAGTCAACAGCCCTAGGGGAGCAGAAAGCGGGTCTGCTTAGAGACCCTAGTCCCTTCAGGCTCCTTGAACAATGAACCAAAGTCAGAGCTGAAAGTTGGGCTAAAACTGAAGCCTGGGATATTTGCAGACACTGCCACCCTGGTGTGTCCGCTGGTGCTGGCCCAAGTTGGAACTTCGAGCAAAGGCCTTGCCACACTGCAGGCAGATGTAGGGCTTCTCCCCACTGTGGGCGACCTGGTGGACAAGCAGGTGGGAGCTCTGGCTGAAGCTCTTGCCACACTCACTGCAAACATAAGGCTTCCGGCCTGTGTGAGTGTGCTGGTGCCGCAGCAGATTTGAACTGTCCACAAAACTCTTGCTACAATCAGAGCACTTGTAGGGCTTCTCACCTGTGTGCAAGCGCTGGTGTTTAAGGAGCTTGGAGCTATGGTAGAAGCTTTTGCCACATTCTGAACAGGCATAGGGCCGTTCACCCAGGTGGATGCGCTGGTGCTCAGTGAACTTAGTGAGCTCACTAAAGCCATGGCCGCATTCAGGACACCTGAAGGGCCGTTCTCCATTGTGGGTGCGCTGGTGCCGTAGGCAGTCCGAGCTGTTGGTGAAATTCTTGCCACACTCACAGCAATTGTAGGGCTTCTCACCAGTGTGTGAACGCTGGTGCTTTAGCAAATAGGAGCTGCGCCCAAAGCTGTCACCGCACCAGGCACAGCGGTAGGGCTTCTCACCGGTGTGTGAACGCTGGTGCTGCAACAGGTTGGAGCTAAGGCTGAAGCTCTTACCGCAGTCCCCACAGCGGTAAGGCTTCTCCCCCGTGTGCGTACGCTGGTGTTGGATCAGGTTGGAGCTGACGCTAAAAGTCTTACCACATTCAACACAGGTGTACGGCTTTTCACCTGTGTGCACCCGTTTGTGTTTTGCCAGGTCTGAACTGCGGCCAAAAGCCTCCCCACACTCCAGGCACTTGTGGGGCCGGAGGCCTGCGTGGGAACGACGGTGCTGGATAAGGTTGGAGCTAAGGCTGAAGCAACGGCCACACTCGGGGCAAGGGTACGGCTTTTCACCAGTGTGTACGCGGTGGTGCTTAACCAGATCTGAGCCACGTCGGAAGCTTTTGCCACACTCCGGACAACTGTAAGGCTTGTCACCTGCGTGGCTGGTTTGGTGGTGAATGAGGTCGGGGAGGCAGGCTGCGGTCAGCCCACACTTCCGGCACTCAAAGGCTTTGGACAGTGCAGGAAGGTTAGTCTTGGCAAAATCTTCCTCTCCAGGGCCAGAGCCTGGCCTACATAGGTACTGCAGGCCCAGCAGCATTTCCCGGGCGGCCGGTTGCCCCTGCCACACCAGGAAAGGCCGCTCAAGCGGAACAACCTCGCAATCCAGGGGCGAGCTGGAGCCTCCCCGGTATCTTAATGTTCCGCTTCCCTGCTGCTCCGCCCCGTCCGGGTTCTCCCTCGCCACTTCTGCTGCCACCGACTCCATTGCGGGTGAAGAGCGCCCGGTTTCCTAGATGCCAGCTACTCAGCTCATAAACACAGTCACTATTGGAGAGACTCGGGACCCTGGGGTCAGGCAACGGAAACGGAAAAGTCCACAAGCCAGTGCCGCTCTAGGAAGTGGCAGCGAACGTTCTCGGTAGGTTTAACCCTCTCATTCACCTGACCGAGCAAGAGCTCCCATCTGCGGTGCTGTCAGGACTTAACATTTTAGGCCTGGCTCAGGGTACTCCGAATCCGTCAGCCCGGACTTCGGAGCCCCGGCCACTGCTGGGGGGCAGCGAAGTGAGCCTGAAGGCAGAAAGGCGGTCCCTGCCAAGGACACGCCAGGGGCAAAGCAGCACAGTAGGAAGACTCCATGGTTGGACGTCAGGATCCCCAGAGGCACCGGCACACAGGGAGACTCCTGGAAGAGAGTTTCCCATCCGTCCTGAAGGAGGCAAGTTAAGCTTGGTGCGGACTACAAATCCCAGCATGCACCGCATGCGCCTCCTGGGCTCTCACGACTATATAACCACCACTCCCGACTTGCCTTCTGCGGCGGTGCAAGAACCAGAGTTCCGGGATCGATAATTACAACTTCCGACTCGCAGGAAAACTGCGGCAGCGCTATTTAAAAAGCGTAAGAGAGGAGGACACCGGCCACGCCCCTCTCCTCCAGTTCCGCTCCCTCGGCTAAGCTGCGAGAAGTGGGGCGGAGCTTTAGGCCCGAGCCAAGATGGCGGCTGCGAAACCAACCCTCACGGACTCGCTGTCGTTCTGCGTCGCGCAGCTCGCGGCGGCGGCCGGGGAGGGCCTGGGTGGGGAAAAGGACTCAGCTACCAGCGAGACACTCCTGGGCCGTGCGCTCTTAGCCCTCCGCACGCGCCACATCAAGGCAGAGGGGGGAATCGAGCGCTTCCGGGCACGCGGCGGGCTCCGCCCCCTTCTCGCGCTGCTACGGCGAGCGGCGGCAGCGGGCCCCGCCCCTTCCCAGGCCGGCCCCGGCTCCGCCCCCTCATCGGCTGTGCCAGCTACTTCTGGCCCTGCCCCCTCGTTGGGCTCCGCCCCTTCTGTGTCGTCGACGCCTTCGCCGCCAGTGCGCCTGCGCAAGACGCTGGACTTGGCGCTCAGCATCCTAGCCAACTGCTGTACGGAAGGGGCGTGCAGGGCTGAAGTGCGCAAGCTCGGAGGCATACTAACTTTGGGTAAGTGCTCCGCCCCCATTTCCTAGAAAGATTCCACCTGTCTCTCTTGTCTGGGCTTGGGCAGTCTTGAATTCTTTGCGTCATAGCTTGGAATAACGTGCTTTGTGATGACGCTGCGGTCTCATTTCTCAAGCTGTTATGTCCCGCGACGTCACCGTTCTCTGTATAGATTACACCAGAACCGTCCCAGACCAGATAAATACAGCCATGATCTAGATATTGACTGTTGGGCACTTCCCTCGCGTCTGGACTAGCAGACCCCAAAGGATTATTTGGTGACTTTTTCAGTTGATTCTTATCCTCCAGTTAAGAGGACACTCCGTGCCTCCTATGTGTCTGGCCATGTGCAAGGGTCTGAAGCCCTAATTTGATGAGCGGATGCCAGGTGTAGTGGTTCAGAAAGGGAGGTCTCTTGCAAAAGTTACCTAATCCCTCCGAGGCTAAGATTCCTTGTAAAATAGGATAATAATAGCTATCTTGAAAAATTGGAGTGGGAAAAGAATGAAAAACAAATATAGCACCCAATTACTCTAAGCATGGGCTTGGTACTTCACGTCATTATAATAGAAACGAACAGTAAGAAATCCCAGCAAAAGGTAAGATTTTTCTGTCTACCAGCTAAATTGGTGCCTCCTAGTGGCAATCATGTGAACACAGTTTACAAAACATGGTTTGCCCTCCATTAAATTAGGCTAGTTTTGATAAAATATTAATTTTTGTGATAAATGAAGCATTAATATATTTAACATTTACATAAAATGCATCTGGATCATAATGTGTTTGACAAGAGACCTGGTACCCTCATAATTCAGTTTCTATTTTGATTTTGAATAGCCCCTGAATCCGTCCACTTTTCTATCCCTACTTCTACCATGTGCCCAGAGACTGGTACCCCTGGGTTGGGTGATGCTTATAGCTGAGTTGGTTTAAGAAGCTATTGTCCTTTCTTGCTTGGACTATTGGGACAGTCTCTTCACCACTCCCTCAGTCCTATTCCTTTCTTCCCATGGATCCAGGGGTCACTCCCCTTCTAAAACCCTTGCATTGGTTCCAGTGCCTTCACATTTCAGGTCCTGACCCCTTGGCTTGTCATTTGAAGCCCTTCATGAGGTTATAGCACAGATACTAGGTCTCACATCTGGGCCTTTGCAAAAACTGCTTCCAAACCAGAAATGCCCTCTCACACCCTCATCTACTATCCTTCTAGCAAATACCTACCTGTTTAGCTCTCTAGACCAGATCGAGTGTTAGCCTCTTTTGAAGGCCTTCCCTGACCCTCTCAGGCCACTTTTTTTTTTTTTTTTTCTGAGACAGAGTCTCATTCTGTTGCCCAGGCTAGAGTGCTGTGGTGTCAGCCTAGCTCACAGCAGCCTCAAACTCCTGGGCTCAACATCTTCTGTGCTGCAAGCCTCCCAAGTAGCTGGGACTCCAGGCATGCGCCACCATGCCTGGCTAATTTATATGTGTGTGTGTGTGTGTGTGTGTGTGTGTGTTGTGTTTTTTTTTAGTTGTCCAACTGATTCTTTCTATTTTTTTTTATTTATTTATTTTTAAGACAGAGTCTCACTTTGTTGCCCGGGCTAGAGTGAGTGCTGTGGCATCAGCCTAGCTCATAGCAACCTCAAACTCTTGGGCTCAAGCAAAATCCTCCTGCCTCAGCCTCCCAAGTAGCTGGAACTATAGGCATGCCTGGCTAATTTTTTCTATATATATATATATTAGTTGGCCAATTAATTTCTTTCTATTTTTAGTAGAGATGGGGTCTCGCTCTTGCTTAGGCTGGTCTTGAACTCCTGAGCTCAATCCATCCTCCCGCCTCGGCCTCCCATAGTGCTAGGATTATAGGCGTGAGCCACGGCGTCCGGCCATCAGGCCACATTCTTGAGGTGATTAATGAAAGAGACAATAAAGGGCAGAACCCTCACAAGCCCAAATTCTCCTTGCAGTGACCATTCTTCAGTGCGTGAAGACAGACAGCATCCAGAACCGAACAGCCCGTGCTCTGGGGAACTTAGCCATGGAACCTGAGAGCTGTGGGGACATCCACTCTGCAGGTGAGAAGGCTGTGAGGGTGGGGTCAGCTGGGGCTCGAGGTGGGAGAAGGGCTTGAGTGTCTGTGCTTGCTCACCTTCTATCCTCTGCTTTCCTTCTCTCTTCAGGTGCTGTTCCCCTGCTCGTTGAGAGCCTGACAGCCTGCCAGGACTCACAGTGCCTGCAGAGTGTGGTGCGTGCCCTCCGCAACCTGGCGGACTCACCCCAGCACCGCCTGGCCCTGGCACAGCAGGGAGCAGTGCGTCCACTGGCTGAGCTCCTGGCTGCTGCCCCAGACCCTGCCCTGACCTCAGCCCTAGTCCGTGCCCTCCTGGAACTCAGCCGAAGTTGCTCCCGGGCCTGTGCTGAGCAGCTAAGTCTGGGTGGGGGACTAGGCCCACTTGTCAGCCTAGCTTCCCACCCCAAACGGGCAGTAAGCGAGGCCACCATTCTGATCCTTGCCAACCTATGTGCCCAAGGCCTGGTACGACCTGCACTAGGCAATGCTGGTGGTGTGGAGGTGCTACTAGGTGAGCTCCAGAGGCGCCGGGGCCCCAGTGGGGCCAGCCCCACCTCGCAGCAGCCCCTGGTGCGGGCTGTGTGCCTCCTGTGCCGGGAGGCCATCAACCGGGCCCGGCTGCGGGACGCTGGAGGTTTGGAACTGCTGATGGGCCTGCTGCGGGACCCTCGTGCCAGTGCCTGGCACCCTCGAGTTGTGGCCGCCCTTGTGGGCTTTCTCTATGATACCGGGGCCCTGGGCAGGCTACAGGCCCTAGGACTTGTGCCTCTCCTGGCTGGGCAGCTGTGTGGTGAGGCTGGAGATGAGGAAGAAGAGGGAAGAGAAGCTGCTTCCTGGGACTTCCCTGAGGAGCGGACCCCTGAGCGGGCAGAGGCTGGAAGCTTCCGAAGCCTCAGGTGAGTCCCCACCTCAAGGATTGGGAGGGCGGGCAATTCTTGGGGTGGGGATTTGTGTCTCTTCTGGTCCTTTTCACTACCCCGCCCCCCCCATTTTGTCTCAGACTTTTGTTGACTAGAACTCCTGATTCCTTGTTCTTTCTGACATGACCACCTTCCAGTCCCCATTAAACATACCTCCTGTCCCCTGGATCTACCTTTTGGCTTTGGTTCCACACCAGCATCTCTGAACTTTGGGTGTCTGTGTGCTGGTTAAGATGATGTGCTCTGGTGTCCAAGTTCTTGTTCTGTTACCATCATTTATATGGAGGAACGTCATGGGCAAGCTCTTCGGAGACTCTGATTCCCTGTGTGTAACATAGTGCCCCATGGAGTTGTTGTTAAGATTTGCCCCTTAGCTGGCACTAAGCGTTGCTCAGTAAATGTTGGTCCTGTTGGGAACTCTCTGACATCATTTCCTGCCACTCTCCCTGGTGCTTGCTACACACTTACCGCCTTCTAGCTAGATTTTGAACATGATAGGTGGGTACCATATCAGGGCCTCTTTGATTGCTGTTCTCTCTACCTGGACCGCCCTTCCTCATACATGCCTTTATTTCTGACTTCCTTTAAATTATTTTTCTCAGTTACCAGTTTACACACACTAACGTACCAAATACTTTACTGATACTGTTGTCTGCTTCTCTAAATAGAACATCAACTCCCGGAGGACAAGGACTTTGTTTTGTTTGGTGCTGTTCCCCAGCACCTAAAACAGGGCTTGGCACATGATAGGCATCAGCAATTTCTGAAAGAGATTTTGGTCACCTCTCCCTAACTTCTGTTTTGTCCCATCCCCCCTTTATCCAACTTCCGCTTCTCTCCTGCTTCACCTCCTTTT